GAGGGGAGGCAGGTGACAGGTGCAGCGACTCCGCGCGTGGGAGGCGACAAGCCGAGCGCTCCTACCCGGAGAGCCCCCGTTTGTGATTGCCGTGGGGCGCTCCGAGCGCCCTGGGTGGGTCTGGCTGGTTTGCCTGGGGCGCTGGGGATCCTGCCACTGGTGCGGAGAGCCGCGCGGGGAAGGGCGGGACAGGGGGAGCATCCATGGCGGGCCGGCCGTATTGCCGTATGCGGCGCTGAAGGGTGTCTTACCAGCTGCAGAAAGCGGCTGGCATGTTTGGTCGTTGTTGAAAAAGCGTGTAGTTGATATAGAGGATGGACACTACCAGCATATGTTAGTTACACTTAGAAGAGCATTGTCCAGTTTGTCCAGTTTACCACAAAGGTAACCTTCAGGTGTAGCACAGTAAGGCATGTGACTGTGCTGGGGTGTTGTTTTTTTTTTTTGTACACTAACCCATGCAAACCCTCTTATTAACGCCCTGCAGGGATGTAGTTCATTTTTAGAGAGAGGTTTAAGTTAAGTTCCTGCTGGCTGTTACAACCTGAGCTAAAAAAAACCCCAACCATGTAATTGAAAAGCAGTAGGAAAAAAATCTGTTGTTTTGTTAGTTGAAGGTTGTCAAATGAAGAGAGAAGCAGACTAAATTTTCCTATTGTGGACACAATACCAGAAGGCATTTGCTGAGTTATAAAATTGATGGTGTTTCTGCGGTGTCCTTAAGTAGTGGCTATTTTTAATTAGTATTTGTTTAGCTCTCACTCTGTGATGGTCAAAGCCTCCAGTGTACGGAAATGTTGTCTAAGAAAATGGCTTTAACTCTTGATATTTTAAACCACTGATTGAAAAATAACTCTGCTAATATATGGAATAAAACCTATAGATGTAACTTTGTATCTTTACAATAATTAAGTAGATGAAGCTAGTTCCTGATGAATTAGCATGCTCAGGTGCTGCCTTTTTCTTGGTTTTATTTCATTCAGGTTTTTTTTTTTCACAATTTTTTTGGTAGCATTCTGAATTAATTGTCCTCATCTTTGTTCATGAAACACCAATGAAATGACACTGTAGACAGAAACTGGCACTGTTAAAAAGCAGTGAAGTTAATGATAGCAACAAATGAACCAAAGTCCAAAGAAGCTGACAGAGGGACTAATAAACTTTTCCAAAGACAGCACCACTCACTCCCTGGCTTAGACCTCTGTTATGTGTACATAACAGATTTGGCCAAAATGAAGTGTGTTTTAGTTTTAAAGGATTATCTGTTTATTTTTTTAGAAAATGTTTTATCACAGATGTTATGGTGAGACTGATGACACTAACATTTCTAGTGTTTCTTAGACACTGTATTATAAAATTATGACTTTTCTGAAAATTGTACATTACTGAAATGTCTTGGTAGCAGTATTCTTGATATGAAATACTGAGGACTTCCTTATTTTCAGGCTTTGAAGTATACAAGCCGTGGCTATGCCTCGCAGCGAACTTTAAATGTAAGTATAAAGCACCATCCAGCTGCAATAAAACACTGGTCTAAATCTGTTTCTTAATTGCTGAAGTTTTTTAAATGTTATCACAAAAAATCTGTTTTGTAGACAATGTGTCTTGTGCCCAAGTCACACATTACTGCAAAATCTGAAATAAAAGTGAGATCTCCTTTTTAATTTTGTTTTGCTAATTGCTAGGTCGTGAGGGACAGAACTGGTTAGAAGTGTTGTCAGCTAGCTTAGGCTTAATGCAACTGCCTGCCGGGTTCTGGAAAATAGAGCTGGGTGCCAACGAATCACTTGGAGGTTTCGAGGTGATGTAACATAACAAGTAACATTTGTATGTTAACCTCCAGCTTGCTGTTACAGTGTAAAAGGTGAGGACAAGTCTGTTACTCTCACTGAAGTCAATCATGGTGAAGGGGTTACAGAACCAGATAGAGCTACTTGTTTTAAACAAGTATAATTTGTCTTTTCTTTCTAGTGTTTTCTTTCTCTGCTTCTCTCTCTAAATACAGAACTTGTGGTGAGACCCTCTAAAACTTTGTGTCTGAATTCCACTGAGACCAGCAGAGTTGAAGTCACTCATTGCTGCTTCTCGGTAGCTGTCCAAAGCCAGCCAGAGGTCTGAAATGGGTGTCTTTGTGATGCCATGCCCTTGTGCTACTCTCACAGGGTTAGCAGTAGATATGTTGATGCTACACTAAAGCAAAGAGGCAAAAATAAAATAAATCTGTTTTGAGGGGCTACTAGTGTGGAATGTCATACCATATTTTAAACTGCTGCCTACACATTATGCTGGGACCTGGACCTCTGAATATCTCCAAGGAGGGAAACTCTGCAGACTCTCTGGGCAACCTGTCCAGTGCTCAGTCACCCTCACAGTGAAAAAGTGTTTCCTGATGTTCAGAAGGAACCTCCTGTGTGTCAGTCTGTGCCCATTGCCTCTAGTCCAGTCCCTGGGCACCACTGAGAAGAGCCTGGCTCTGTGCTCTCTGTCCCCTCACCTCAGGCCTTTATCCATCTTGATAGGATCCCCCTGAGCCTTCTCTTTTCCAGGTTGAACAGTCCCAGCTCTCTAAGCCTTTCGTTGTATGTTAGATGCTCCAGTCCCTTCATCATCTTTGTAGCTCTGTGTTGCCCTCTCTCCAGTATGTCCATGTCTCTCTTGTACTGGGTAGCCCAGCACTGGACACAGCACTCCAGGTGTGGCCTCACCAGTGCTGAGCAGAGGGGAAGGATCACGTCCCCTGACCTGCTGCCGCTGCTTTGTCTAGTGCAGCCCAGGATCCCATTAGCTGCCTTGGCAGCAAGGGCACATTGCTGGCTCATGTTCAACTCAGTGTCAGTCAAGATTCTCAGGGAAGATCTTGTGGGAGGCAGTATTGAAAGCCTTGTTGGAGTGCAGGCAGATAACGTTCACTGCTCTCCTCTCATGTAGCAAGCTGATAATTTCATTGTAGAGGGTTACCAGGTTGTCTGAGCATGACTTGCCCATGGTGAATCCATGCTGATGACTCCTGATGATTTTCATGTTGTTCGTGTGCCTGGAAATGGTTTCCAGGATTTGTTGTTTCATCACCTTCCCAGGGAATGAGGTCAAATTGACCAGCTGGTAGTTTCTCAGGTCCTCCTTCTTGCCCTCCAGTCCTCAGGCACCTCTCACAGTCACTGTGACCATTCCAAGGTTATTGTGAGTGGCCTTAGAAAGACATCTGCTGGCTCCCTCAGCACTTGTGAGAGCATCACTGTGGATTTATGTATGTCCAGTTAGCTTAAGTATTCCCTGACCTGATCTGCTTCACCAAGGGTACCATTTCCTTGCTCCAGCCTTTGCTCTGGTCTCTGGGGCCTGGGATTCCTGAAGGCTGATCTTACTTGTGGTGAGTGAGATGAAGTAGGCATTCAGTACCTCAGCCTCTTCCATGTCCTCTGTCACCAGGTCATCTGCCTCATTCAGCAGCAGGCCCAGGTTTTCCCTAGAGTTCTTTTGCCTTCTAGGTGCTTATAGAAGTCCTCGTTATTGCCTTTGATATCCCTGGCTAGATTCAACTCTGTTGAATTGAAAAAACCTCTGATGAGGTTTTTTCATCTCATCCCTGCATGCTTGGACAGTGTCTCCCAAGTTCCCTGTCCCTGCTTCCACCTTCTGTATGCTTCCTTTTTGTGTATGAAATTTTGGTCATCCATACAGACCTTATGGTGTTCTTACATCACTTTGTTTTTGCTGGAGTTGGCTGCTCCTGAGCTTGGAGGTGGTAATTCTCAAAGAGGAACCAGATTTCTTTGCGCCCCCCTCCTCCCTCCACGGCCTTGGGGCTCTTTCAGGCATCATCTGTCCCAAGGCTGAGCAAAATGCCCTCCAGCTGTGCCTAGTCTCCTTGGCCTGTATCCCTCCCCAGCAATACTCCAGGCATGGGAGCCATCCCACGTGGCTCCATCATCCCAACAAGAGTGTACTTCTGCAGCTGCACGCAGCTCTCTGATTGCTCTTGCTTCCTGCCCCTGCTGCATGCATTAGTAAAGGTTCTTCTAGTGCTCCAAAACACTTGCAGGATAAAACAGAAGTTGTGACACGGGTGAAGGAGTAAAAGCGAGTAACTTAAAAAGCAAACAAAACCAAAACAAAACCAAAAAAACCCCAACCAAACAAAAACCAACTATGTGTGCTTGTGTTGGAGAAACTGAGACTTTTCCTCCATGCTTCTTCTCTTAGGAGGTGGTGATAGCAAGTGCTGTAAGGACACCGATTGGATCTTTCCAAGGATCTCTTTCATCTTTGCCAGCCACAAAGCTTGGTTCCATTGCAATTAAGGGAGCAATTGACAGAGCAGGTATATGTGAATTTTTTTGTGTGTGACAAGGAGAAAGTTGGGTGGCTCAGAACAGTGTCAGTCTGTCTGAGTTAGTTGGCAGAGAGAAGATCCTGTGCTTCTTGCTGCCATGGCACTCTTGAACTACTTATCCACAAAAGCTGTTTGCCTGCTGGGCTTCGTTCCAGTCTGAGTTAAGTGAAGTGCTGCTTCTAGGAGCAGAATATTACTTAGGTATGTCTGTGCCAATCCAGAGCTGACTGAACATGCTAATTGTTTTTTGGGGTGGGGTTTTCTGGCACACCTACACTGGTACCAAAGCTACTTGTTGCTGAAACCAGCGGTACTACCTTTCCCTGCCTATTTTTTTACTTTTTTTTTTTTTCTTTGTTGCATTTAATCATGCATGGAAGTTGAGCTTCTCAAGTGACTAGTGAGACTTGGCAATGTTAGCTTTAGTTAGTTAACTGTTTCCTGTTCTGCAGGGCACAAAGGAATTCTTTTCTGTGAGGGTCACCAGTTCACTGTGTTCTATGAATGTGAGGGTAGAGATCTGGGATGGACTCAGCAGGGCCCTGTGTGATGTGAGCACACAGGCTGCACAGGGCATGTTCCTCAGTCTTTGCTGGAAAATTTCATGGAGGGGGGGTTCATAAAAGGGAGTGACAACATCTGTGCAAAGAATCCTGATTCAAAACCATCTTGTTTTGTAGGTATCCCTCCAGAAGAAGTAAAAGAAGCCTATATGGGTAATGTCTTGCAGGCTGGACAAGGACAAGCTCCAGCAAGACAAGCGGTGTTGGGTGCAGGTATTCATTCTCTTGATACTGGTGTTGGAGGTTTGGTGGTTTTATGTGGACAGTGTAGGTTGCTGAGCTGTGGAGTGGGGCCCAGCCTTTTGGCAGCACTCTGCATGTGCTATTTTCCCCTGGTGGAGGGTGAAGGGTGTGCGCTGTACTCACCAAAGTGGAGCTGATTGTGCATCCTCAGTGTATCATTACTCTTAAGCCTGAATGGATAAGGGATAGTTGAGTTTCCTTGAGCTGCAGAGTATGTCATTCCACTCATCTTCCCATGGAGTCTGGAGCTGCCACTGGAAGGATTCACTCTGTAATGTGAACTGTGGCACACATCTTGTTGGGGTGCAGGAATTATTTTCTTTCCCTTTTGCTGTGGGGATGGGATTCCACACCGTAGCGTGACTCTAGAACAGGGAAGAACTGGTTACTTTCTCAGTTCTGTCCTTGTGCTTTTTTGAAAGAGAAGGAGCTGCTTCCATGTGAAGCAAAGGGATGAATTTTCTT